AGAAGTGAAAAATAGGATTCTGGTAGCTCCCTCAGGATGGCAGAGAGTGAAATTTAAAGTTTCACCCTCCAACCCACGGCAGAGATTTCCGAGGAAAGGGGCCAATGGGGCAACAGCAGAAGCTATCAGAATATGCTGGGTTGTTTTTTTTTTTTTAATTCAAATGTTCGCAAGTGGGAGAGACCGGCCCACAAAAGAAAAGGTTTTCAGGCTCCAGTCAGTGGCTATTCACTTCAAGGACCAAGATGAGTGCAATGAAATGCTGATGTCACAACATGATTTAGACACCTCTTGGAGCCTATGTGCCTGGCTGCATCTTCAGTATTCTCTATGGATATTTACCTCCTTGTAATTCACTGCCATTGGAACTGTCTACACCAAACGCTAAGAATGCTTCCCCACCTCGCAGCACCCTCCCAGCAGCCAGCCAACCCCCATACAGAGGCTGTGCCATAAAACTGTTGTCACATGACATAAACCCACCTTAGACCCTCAGCATCTGTATGTGTGAGTGTGTGTGTCAAAGGAGGCAGTTTTTCAAAGAACCACCATTATACCCAGGAGAGGGTCCCTCCAGCAGGGATCCTAAGCGCCACACTGGGAATAGAGAAAGACAGGAGGACACGCTAGGGACATGGAATCTGATGGACCCAAGTTCAAATCCTGATGGGCCCACCTAGTTGTTACGATCATAGATAAGTGAACTTCACCAAGGCCTCAGTTTCCTCGTAAGTATAGAAGAAGATAATAGCTTACTCATCAGTAACAAGAGCTACTTCATCAGTTATTGTGAGAACGAATGATACCTGTAATTGGGGGGTGGGGACAGGTACAGTGTCTAGACCCTACCACCTACAGATAATACATGCTCGTTCAACACCCCTCCCCATTCAAGTTCTAGTCCCCATGTGGCCATCTATTTTCTGAGTGACTCTGGGTGATTCATTTAATCTCCCACCTCAGTTTCCCCTTCTCTCAAATTAGGACGTGGGACGTCTAAGGCCTCTAAAAGTCCTAGCATTCTGTCTAGTAAGGGATGCTTGTTGTCACCTTCTATTCTTAATACCTTTTTAGTGCTCCCTCTTACAGTCCAAATCCCTCTTTAAATCCACGGTACCAGTCCCTTCCAGTTTCTGGTTTTTGGATTTTTTGCCTCTGGCTCTGTTGTCTTCCCCCATACTAGTTACTGAAAGGTGTCTACAGGCCAGGGCTGTGTTAAGAATGGTCTAAGCTTTATCACAGGGTGCATACGCCCTATGATGATCATTATGATGATGCCCATTTTACAAAAGAGAAAATCAAGGCTCAAGAGTTTAAGCAACTTACCAAAAGTAGGGGATTCAAAACTGACTCTTCCCAGCTGCTTATAATCCTTATATGGTATCCTACCTGTCCAAGTTTGAGCTCTATCTTCTTATGACTCTGTGCTGTGCTGGCTTATCTCATAAATCACTTTGTATTAATAACTGTGTGTGTTACACCTGCCAGGTGGCCTATGCACAAATTAACCAGGACTCATCGCCTCTGAACCAACAGGAAAGTCATGATGGGATTCTCAGGCCCTGCAGCTTGTAGGTCAGGGTGAGATTCAAGACAGACAGGACTTAAAGACATCTTTCAAGTAATAGCACATGGACAGACAGCTACTCATCTTCCACATGAAATTGCTGGAAGCTACCTTGTTTTAGTTCAAGTCTAAAGTGCAAGCTTCCCAGCTGCTCTGAGCCCATTCGTAATAGCAGAGTAGTAACAGAAAAGGCTCACACTTTGGGGTCAGACAACCCCAGGCTGAGTAGTCAAGTGAACCTGAGTGGATTTCTCTGATAACCTCTCTGAGCTTCTTATCTGTTAAATGACCTTGGGTAAGTCACCCCAACTGAGCTTCAGGTTCCCAATCTGGAAAATGGGGTAACACTGGCAACCTTAGAGGGATGACACAGGGACAGAAGGAATGCCTGGCCTGTAATAGAAATACATGAGCCTGTTGGAGAAAAAAGGAGCTGGGGGGGGAGGGATGGTCAGGTTGTTTCCAATAATCAGGATAGTCTAGAGTAGAAAGATGGAAATCAGTGAGAGGTACACTGAACTTGAAGTGCCTTCCAAAATCTGTAAGGACCCATGCCAGTGAGAACTAAATGCCCTGTTATGACAAAAGCCCCAGACCGATCTGACCCCTGACTCCACTCTGCTAGGTCATCTGGCAACTGCTGCTAGAAGCACTTTTTGCAGGTGAGAGGCTTCCGTTGAGCCAAGTGGTAGAGTGTAATCTCACATCCCCTCTCACTCTCAGCACCATAAGGTTGCCAGGGTAACTGAGCTATTCTGGTCCTTCCCTATGGGATCCCAACTTTATCCATATCCCATGGGTTCCCTTTGGCCTCATGTTCTGCAGCCCCTGCTGAGGCCTCTTACTTCTGCCACACAAGATCAGAGGGGAAATGAGAAGAGAAGGAACTGACCATGCAACTGGACCTTAGCATTTTATTTCCTTACCATTTTATTTCCTTAGTTACAGCACATTTCCATTTACAGAGTACTTTCCCTTATAAAATCTCCCAGTGTTTACTTCTAATCTACTAAATAACTCCTCTGACCTCTTCTTGTTTTTACCCTTTAAATATCTGTTGATGGTCCATTCACCACATTCCCCATTCAGTTATTAATGGCCCACAAAAACTTACTAGCAGCAATCATTTATTGATTAATCTGCATGACAATTCAAAAAGACAGGTAGTATTAATCCTTAGTTCTGCAGAGGGAAACCAAGGGGAAAAGAGAGGTTAACTCAGTTGCCCAAGGTCAGTGGCTAACCAAGATTATAACCAGGATCTATCCTGTCTTGTATGTCTATAAACACTTCCCACAGTGCTATACCCTTTCTTTACAAATCAACATTGTCAAGGCAGCTAGATCTTTCTGTGTTGAGATTCAGTTTCACACAACAGTTTAGAACTGTCAAGATTCAACTTCAAGTAATTCTGCCTGCTAACACTTCATAAATAAAAGTTGCTAAAATTAAGAGATAATAGTACTTGAAAGTCAATTCTACAAAGACAAAAGAGAAGTGAAAAGATCAGGATTATAGACCCAGCTCTGCCACAAAGAGACTCTCAGAGAGTCATTTAACTTCTCTATATCTCTGAGTTACCTATAAAAGTGGGATTATGCTGAATGTTATTTAAGGTACCCTGCCGTTTAAAATGAGAAGACTGAATAACTATTAAAACAGTTCAAAATATAAAGCTCCAATATCCAATGCTGCCGAGATCATGCTTACACTGGTATATCCATTCATTGTTAATGAGGTACACAGCCACAATCCCCTTGGAAAGCAAGATGCCAATACACAGCAAAACACATAAAGAATTCCATATCCTTTTACTTAGTAATTTAACTCATACAACGTTTTACCCTAAGAAATAAGTCAATAGAAGCAAAAAGGCATACACAAATGAAAACGCAAATTTCAGTGCTAGGAATCAGAGGAGCAATTATCAAATATCAATATTCATTTTTAGAGGAATCCCTTATTAAATAAAAGCACAGAACAATATTAATGTTATGTTGCTATTTAAAAGGATGAACATGAAAATTATGCAAAGTCGTTGAAAATCATGTCAATACTATTCAATGAAAATAGCCAGAAGTAAAAGAGCAGATACATACTCTGATGCCAACTACATAAAATGTGGATAGATCGACAAGGTCACAGGAAAACTGAAAATAGGTATGTTAGCAATTAGGCTTAGTTTTAAAAATATTTTAACTGCTGTTAATGCTGTTTTTCCATTCACACATTTTATCACCTCATCAATTATTTAAAAATTTCTCAGCCCCTGCTTTAGTTTGATGGAAAATGAATTTTAAACTTTCTGCCTAAGTCTCCTGAGTAATTTTTATTGGTTGACATATTATTCATGACATTATTCTTCTGGAGTGATTTCTGCTCTTTAGTATATAATTCTTCAGTGTCTTTAGAGATTCTAAAATCTCAGAACCCTTGCCTTCTTTTCCTCACCTAAGGGGATTCTTTTATTTTTTTTTATTTTTTATTTATTTATTTATTTATTTTTTAGATTTTATTTATTTATTTGACAGAGAGGTAGAGAGCACAAGTAGGCAGAGCGGCAGGCAGAGGGAGAGGGAGAAGGAGACTCCCCGCGGAGCAGGGAGCCTGATGCGGGGCTCAATCCCAGGACCCTGGGACCATGACCTGAGCCAAAGGCAGACACTTAACGACTGAGCCACCCAGGCGCCCCTAAGGGGATTCTTTTAAAAGATGTGTCATCTAATCTAGTTTTGAATAACCCCATGATTGCCTTGTAATGCTAATATTTGGCCACTGCCTGACCCAGGAGCCCACATTTTTCCATAACCCTGACCTGTGGGTGTCTCTACAGTAACCACAAAGTTGCCATTATCCTTTTCTTGGTGTATCTAGGGTGGTTTCACATTCCAAGTTTGGGAAGCTTTACAGCAGAACAACTTATCATTTCAGGGGTTTTAGGACATCCGTTGGTTCACTTAGGAAAGCTGCCCCCAAGGAGCACTGTGCTAGGACCCTCCCTTCATAGAAGGACTTTCACATCCTCCTTCATTTCTTAGAAATATTCTTTTACTAGCAGGTCATTTGTACATCTTTGCTCATAATATCTGGGAAAGACTGCAGAGCCAATGAATTAAAAATATGATTCTAGGTCTCATGTGTGCCAATGAATGCCCTCATTAAAGCAGCATGAGTGAGATGAGATGGGTTTCAAAGCTTTCCGTCCCTTTGCCCCAGAGCCGCTGAGGCCAGGCACTGAAAGGATGCACAGTAAAATTAAATATCTAAAAATTCATCTTTAATTAACAGAATTGGATTAAAGCTAGACACCACCGCATATCATATGAGAAATGGCTGAGCTGGCTTCCAAGTGCTCTAATTCAATTAGGACGCAGTGAGTGACACTCGGACAGGAAAGGTTAATTGGGGGCGCCAGAACGCAATCATTCCTTACCTAACCAGTCATTAAACTTCTTAACCTCTGAGGGCAGTCCCAGCTCGGTGAAATCGCCTGTGTGGAGAAGGATGTCCCCATAAGGCATCTGGATACCATCTGTTCTGGAGTGCGTGTCTGAGATGCAGACAAACCGCGTGTGGCCCGCTGGTTTTGGAGTGTCATATGGGATGGGGTCGACCCTAAAGTAGACATAACAGATCCCATAACAGTTAAATATATTAGAACCCCCGTAATTGTCATTGCACATACATATCGACGGTTATCCGTGAACGCACCCAGATAAACTGAAGCAAAGGCCAAAGGGGCCTTTGCAACAAGGGAGACTTTGAGGTGCACAGGAGAAAGCATCCCCCATCTACGACCCCACTGAGCAAATTCAAAAAGGCTTACTTACCTGGGAGGAGAATGAAAAGGAAAGAATATCTTACATGTAAAATCAGAAATAACCCAGGAAATGGATAGAGTGATTAATGGTGAAGTTTAGGGATATTGAGCCCCAACTGGGGAAGCAAAATTATGCTATTTTCTCTCATCATGCTCCAATTGATCCCACTACTCATTAAGAAATGGATAACTACATTTATTCCTTCTTAAACATGCATAACTTAAGCAATGAACTAATTTACGGAGAACACCTTGCACATGCTTTGCCAACTGAGATGTGGAGAGATATAGATAGTACTTATATTTAATTTCCTTTCCACAACCATTCGACACCTGTATCTTCTTGTTTTTGCTAAGTGATTCACAAATCAAACAGTGGAGAGAGAAGGTGATGTCAAAATAACAGAACTTAAAAGAAAAACACTGAATGTTAAAAGAACTTTGTCAAGCTCCTTCTTTACCACAGTGAATTATCTGCAGTCCCAGTTACACCTTAGATGACTAGCAACGCTCAAATGCCTTGGGCAAAGATTCTATTCAGTATAATTCGTAAGCCTTTTAATGGGTGTGTATAGATCTACATATGCATTAATATATGTATACTTTTAGAGACCTAAGCACTGTGAAATTACACTAGGGCATAAGAATCAAAAGGCAAAATAATCAACCCGAAGCAAAGAAAATGAAACAGAACAGTCTCACTTAATTGAGTGTAACAAAGTGTGCTAAATAAACTTCGTAAAGAAATGCAAATATGACTCTTCAAGCATACAGTTTTAATTATTTAAGGGGTTTGTAGCAGAGTTAAGGATGCTTTCACCATATTAACTCTACACTGACAGCTTCCTTTAATTTCTCTGTAGGAATGTACACTTATTTTGGATTATGGGTGAAAAAAAGCAGTTATAAAGGCAAAGAGAAGGTCACAAGAGAGGCAAATATGCAATGCAGAGATCAAAGTGTGAAACATTAAATAAGGAACAATACTTCATGTCACAGCCCCGCCCTTCATCATTAACATGCAGCAGAGAATACACTGAAAGCTCAACACGAGATTCCCTATATGCGTTGCCTCTACAGGCTTTAATTTTTCTTCCTTTTTTCCACTTTTCTGAAAGAAATGATCTGTTTTAACAATGGCAATTTTAGTGAGGAGAATAAAGACATCGATATACAACCTGGATAGTCTTGAATTTCTTTTAACGGTTAATCTTTTAATGTAATTTTCTCTTTGTCACAGGAGAAGGTAAGGAAGTGAGAAGAAAGGAGAGCAAGAAGAGAGAAAAGAGGGAGAAGAGGGGGAGGGACCGTGAACTGGTTAACACAGTGGGTCTAACTGGAAACCCAAAAAGAAAGTTTAACTTCTGCAAAAAATTAATGAATTTTTCCTGTAAAGCCTAGAAATTAATAATGCTATTACCATGGAGAATGTTATTCACTAATCCACCGAGATCTCATGAGTAACCTGGAAACCCTTCTGATTATTTCCGATGTTGACTTTTCTACATATATAAAAGTGTCTGGTGTCTTCCTTTCCATTACTGAGACTCTATTACACTCAGTCTTAATGCTTCCAGTCTCGTCAGTATCTCCTGTCTTCTAAAAGTAGTTTCCCGAGAGAATGAATGACTGTTTTCTGCAGCTGACTGGAAGGGAAAAGTGAAAAGTGATAGTAATATTCTGTTTCCATGTCAAAAGTTAAGACGCTCGCTGAAATGGGACTGTGCATACTGATACTTAATCCACCAACATTTGAATGAAAATTAAATAAATATCAACCACTGGACTTCTAAACACATGAATAATTCAAATACACGTATATGAATATACATACACACATAAGCACATCTTTATTTTCTAGTTCTCAACCTAATGGTAATATACAGACACAGTCCCTATTTCCTCTTTTCCGTAACTCAGCTGAGCTCCAGGCACAAGTCAAAATCCTTTACAAATCCATCGGAACCTCTCAGAGGGACATGCATTATAGTTATCATTTTGAATTTATTAGAAAGTAGCACAGATAGAAACCCTTCACTGTGCACAGGCCCTTATTCTGTGACTTCTCCTCGGTTTAGAGAAGCAAATCATCAGATGGTACATAATCTGTTTCCCATCTTAGTTCTAGACTGGGCAATAACTTTCTGAGGCCACTGATGGGAACATCAGTCAATTTTAAGTGGCTTCCACTTTCCTCCCCACCTTCCCACCTCCTCCAGAGAAACATTTAAATGTCCAACAGAATTAACAGTGAAAGAAAGGCCAAGGAATAGAAAAATAGAGGGGAAAGGAAAAAGGGAGAAAATGCATCTTCTTAGCTTTGAGCTGAAATAAAATGAGTCAGAAGGACACAGAAAGACTGTCAGAGAAGATTCACCCATCAATATCACCAATTTGATGTCACCAAAGGGAATTAGGTAGACGTTTAAGAGAGGTATGGAGGATTGGTTCAAGGTAGAGGCTTGGGGAAGGGAAGGGGGGAGGTATAAAGAGGCAAATGCGGAAGTCATGTACATCCTCTGACCCAGAGACATGGATGTCCTCTGTTACCCTCAGGACTCAAAACAAGGCAAGAGATGGTTTCAGGAGACAAGACAGCACAGCATGTCAGAGGAACGCTGCAGGATAACATGACAAATTTCACCCGGGGGGGTCACAGGAAGGAAGACATGTCCACCCAAAGACATTCAGAGTTGAAAATGAGACATCTAGCAGAGTAGGCAAGTTGCAACAGATATAATTAAAGTTGAGACCACCCTCGGGAAACTACTATTTCCAAACTGGGCATTTGGTAAATGCTTTGAAAATAAAAGTCAAGGCAGTCAAATATTTTCAGTGTAACAGCATGTCTAAGGGAGACCCCGGCTACCGTTAGATCTACCTGTTCGCATTGTGTGAAGACCCACAGACTACATTTTCCGTCTTAGTTAACTTCACTGCTTACTGTTGATGCTGCTGCCTTCTCAAACGATCGACCATTTCCCCTAAGGCATCATGTCAAGTATCCTAGCAAGTGAGTATCTTACCAAGGCAATCTAACCCCCAGAGCCAGATTCAAATATCACAGTGAGATTTGCACGTACATTTGAGTGCACCCAGGGGAAAACAAGATGACATGGGCAGATGAGAAGAAAACACAGCCTCATAAAATCCCAGAGCCGGACAAAACCTTAGCGGGCATTGGGTTCAACACTTTACATGAAGCTTCTACCCCATCGCTGCCTAACTGACACAAGTTTTCTTCCCAATGTTTCCAGAGAAGGAGAGCTCCTGAGTTCCCTCTTCTTCCCTGGGGACCCCCATTCTGGTTTTCTCAATTGTTCTACTTGCTAAAAAGTTTCTGATTCAGTCTACACCTCTGCAAGCACAGAGAAAGCTGAGCACGGTCCAAAGAGACTTAGCCCAGAGCCCGAAAATGAACAATATTGACTGAGGTATTTGCTTCTGGCAAGTCGTTTCATTCTTTGGGGCTATGTTGCTATGAGGATATAAATCGTCAAATACTGGGTCTGGCACAGAGCACATGCTCAGAAAGCAAAGACACAAAGTGACATAAGAGTGAAGCAGGCTTGACTATCTGCTTTGACTCTCACTCCAGATTTATTAACAGTGTAACACCAAACATGGGACTCAACTCCTGTGTCTTGGTTTCCTCACCAATAAAATGGATATAAAAATAGTACCTCTCTCATTGGATTGCTGTGACAATAAAAAAGTATCATGTACTCAAAGCATTTAGAACAGTCTGACACACAGCAGACACTCAGGAAGTGGTTTTTGGCTTTGTTTTGTTTTTTACTAAGTAGTCGTATTTTTGCTACTATTAGTAGAAATAGTATCTTTTAGTTTCTCTGACCTCCATCTCTTCTGTTACAAGGAGGTAACAGCTACCACAGGGGAACTTTCTGAGAGTTAAAGGAGGTCACATAGGGCACCTTGGTGGCTCAGTCGTTAAGTGTCTGCCTTCGGCTCAGGTCATGATCCCAGGGTCCTGGGATCGAGCCCCACATCGGGCTCCCTGCTCTGCGGGAAGCCTGCTTCTCCCTCTCCCACTCCCCCTGCTTGTGTTCCTGCTCTCGCTATGTTTCTCTCTGTCAAAAAATAAATAAAATCTTTAAAAAAAAAAAAAAAAGGAGGTCACATAAGCAACACCCAGCACAGTCTGGACATACACTCCACGGTCAGTAATTATATTGACTTCCTTCCTCTTACTTTCTTCTTTCATCCCAATCTTCTGCATTTGAAATACCAGAGAGTAAGAATCCAGTCCCCTTTTCCCTCTGACTGTTCTTCAAATATTTGAGGACAAGTATCATAACCCCCTGATATCTTCTCTACTCTAATTGAGGTTTTTTCAGCATTCCCTTGTGTGTTAAGATTTACAGTGCCCTCAGAGCCCTACTGGTCTCCTCCTCCATACGATCCGATGGGTCTAAACGCCTCCCTGGGCAGTGTCAGAATTCGTGGGCCCATGAATTCATTGGCCAGTGAGCTGCGTATCAAAGACAAATGTTGTTAGGTGCAGTGGAGAGATGACGGTGCTGGGCACACTGGTGGTCTTTCCGAAAGGCGCTACGTCAAAACATTTTCTAATTCAGTCTCCAGGGTTTGTGCCAAGCCTCAAATCTTGTTCTTCAAGCTTGACTGTCAAGTGTTTATATATCTCATTGCATATTCAAACAAATAAACCATTCTCATTTATCCAGTCTTGACGCATTAGAGTTTTTTTACTCATAAAAAAATATGATCATATTACTGCTTCCACTATGGAATACTCTTCTGACAATATCTGTTA